GGGCCTAAGTTATTTTTTGTGATTCTAGTGTAAATTGGACCTATATCTAACCTTGTGATTATGGCGTAAACCGAATCTATGTCTAACTTTTCTGCTTCTAGTGTAAATCGGACCTAAGTCTACCTTTTGTGATTCTAGTTTAAACTGGATGTATGTCGACTTTTCTTACTATTCGGGTTTAAACCAGACCTATGTCTAGTTTTTGTGATTATAGTGTAAACCAAACCTGAGTCTACCTTTTGTTATTCTGTTGTAAACTGGGCCTTTGTCTATATTTTGTGATTTTAGTGTAAAATGGAATTATGTCTACCTTTAATTTTAATTGAATGCACGGTTGGAAATGATAAGTAAGATTGATTTATTTGGGAGGGATATTAAAATTATTTCATTTTTATTTTATTCAATTCCACTCTTTTTCATTTCCTCGATATTTTTTTTGTTATACTTTCCTTCTCCTCTTCATTTAATTATTGTCTTTGTTTTTGTTTCTTTCCAATTTTCTTTCTTATTTCATTTTCTTTCTTCCTTTATTTCCACTTTATTTTCTTCCACATGTTCTTCATTTTTGGGTCTTCTTCTCTTTCTTTCTTTCTTTCTTTCTTTCTTTCTTTCTTTTTTTCTTTACAATATTTTCGACATTCTTCTTTTTTCATTATGTCTGTCATTATATTGCTTTCTTTCTTTCTTTCTTTCTCCCTTTCTTTCTTTTTTCTTTCTCTCTTTCTTTACATTATTTTCGAATTCTTCTTTCATTATGTCTGCTTTTATATTTTCTTTCTTTCTTTCTTTTTCTTTCTTTCTTTCTTTCTTTCTTCCTTTCTTTCTTTCTTTCTTTTCTCCTTTCTTTCTTTCTTTCTTTCTTTCTTTCTTTCTACTATATTTGACATTTTTTCATTCTCTCTGCCTGTATATTTTCTATCTTTCTTTCCGTTTCATTTCTTCTTTCTTCCGTGATCTCTCTCTCTCTCTCTCTCTCTCTCTCTCTCTCTCTTTCTTTCGCTTTTCTTTCTTTCTTTACAATATTTTCGACATTGTTCTTTTTTCATTATATTTGCCTATATATTTTCTTTCTTTCTTTCTTTCTTTTTTCTTTCTTTTTTCTTTCTTTCTTTCTTTACAATATTTTGACATTCTTCTTTTTCATTATATCTTCATTTATATTTTCTTTCTTTCTTTCTTTCTCCCTTTCTTTCTTTTTTCTTTCTCTCTTTCTTTACATTATTTTCGAATTCTTCTTTCATTATGTCTGCTTTTATATTTTCTTCCTTCCTTTCTTTCTTTCTTTCTTTCTTTCTTTCTTTCTTTCTTCTCCATACAATTATTCCTTTTCTTTCTTTCTTTCTTTCTTTCTTTCTTTCTTTCTTTCTTTCTTTCTTTCTTTCTTTCTTTCTTTCTTTCTTCTCCATACAATTATTCCTTTTCTTTCTTTCTTTCTTTCTTTCTTTCTTTCTTTCTTTCTTTCTTTACAATATTTTGACATTCTTCTTTTTCATTATATCTTCATTTATATTTTCTTTCTTTCTTTCTTTCTTTCTTTCTTTCTTTCTTTCTTTCTTTCTTTCTTTCTTTCTTTGTATTCCTTCATACTGTTTTCCAAAAACCATCTTTTCTCATTTTTATTTCACCTTCGTTACGTGATATCTTTTTTGCCATTGACGCCGGCTTCTCAAAAAAATTGACAGCAACTGTCAGTTTTATAGTCCTTTTTTTATTTTTTAAAATTTTATTATATCTCGCCACGATCTTTTAATTTTTTCATATTCTACTTTATCATTAGCCGTCTGAATTCCAAGGAGAAGGGCAACAGACAAGACTTGAAGCAGGAAAATCGAACATTGATTGAATGGGGATTCTGTGATTGCACGCCCGCCTTTTTGATTGGACGTGCAAATTGAACTGGACAACACACAGTGACATTTCACAGCGAGTTCCAAATTGATTCTGTGGCGCCCGACATTCGTAATTTTTCGTTCGGTATTTCATCTCTGGGACATTCGCGTTCCTGATTGTCTTTTTTTTATTTTTTTATTTTTATTTTTAGATCTCAGATCCTATTTTTCTCTTTTTAGTATTTTTATTCTCCATCTATTCGTCTTCCCCATTCTCGTTGATATCACTTCCGTTGTAGCCTTGATAATTTTTCTTTTCTTTTCTTTCTCTCTCACTTTTGTATTTCGTCCTCTTAAATCTGTTTCAGTTATAAAGGATGCAAGAAGCGCAGAATTAATCCGATAGGAAATCCGAAAACATCAGTTGGTATCATAACAAAATAGGCCATTCTTCCGATCTCTCTCTCTCTCTAAGTCTCCTCTTTCTTTCTTTCTTTCTTTCTTTCTTTCTTTCTTTCTTTCTTTCTTTCTTTCTCATTCTATTTTGTGACTCTCTAAGTATCCTATTTTCTATCTATCTATCTATCTATCTATCTATCTATCTATCTATCTATCTATCTATCTATCTATCTATCTATCGCAGCCTCCTTTTCTTCCTTTCTTTCATTCTTTCTTTCTTTCTTTCTTTCTTTCTTTCTTATTCTGTTTTGTAAGTCTCTCTCTGTTTGTGTAAGTATCCTCTTCTCTATCTATCTATCTATCTATCTATCTATCTATCTATCTATCTATCTATCTATCGCAGCCCCCTTTCATTCATTCTTTCTTTCTCATTCTATTTTGTAACTCTCTCTCTCCCTCTCTCTGTAAGTATCCTCTTTTCTATCTATCTATCTATCTATCTATCTATCTATCTATCTATCTATCTATCTATCTATCTATCTATCGCAGCCTCCCTTTTCCTTTCTTTCTTTTTTTCTTTCTTTCTTTGTTTCTTTCTATCTTTTGACGATAAACTACATCTATGAGCAAGGCCTCTGATCGATAGAGTGTAGGTTTTGAACCTGGAACTACCTCTTAATAGCTTTTGTCTCCAGGTCCACCCTGACCTGGGGTGGTTGAACCACTTATGGTCCCATCTATCGGAAAATAGTCTTTTGATTTTTGTTTGCTCGTTCACGAAGTACAAAAAACATTATAGTAAAAAATATCACCAATATATTTATAAAAAAATGGCCAGTAGTAATACAGTAAAAACACTAAAGAATAAAAGTATATTTTTATACTAAAATTACCAGCAATACATTTTATCGACTTCAAACTATATGTCTAAAAAAAACATACTTTTGCCCTAAAAGTATGAAGTTATGCACAAAATATCTGTAGTTGAAGCCATAAAATTGCGTAAAAAACATTTAGATTTCAGCATTACATGACCCATTGAGGTGTTGATATGTCGCTAAACAAAAATAAATCTATCTATAGTATTCTATTTTCTCTCTCTATCTGTCTAAGTCTTCTATCTATCTATCTATCTATCTATCTATCTATCTATCTATCCCATTCTGTTTCTATCTATCTATCTATCTATCTATCTATCTATCTATCTATCTTACTCTCCTCTTTCTATCTATCTATCTATCTATCTATCTATCTATCTATCTATCTATCTATCTATCTTACTCTCCTCCTTTCTATCTATCTATCTATCTATCTATCTATCTATCTATCTATCTATCTATCTCTCCTCCTTTCTATCTATCTATCTATCTATCTTGTCGTCCTGGGTATAACGATAAATGAATGCGAAATGTTTTCTTATAAGGAATCATTTAATATTACCATCACCGTTTTTCTTCTTCTATGTGCAGTTTCTCTTCAAGATGTTGGCGTTCATGACCCTCCACAATTTCCTGTCCTTTATAACTCTTAGTAAGTTTTATCTTTTTGTTCTCTCTTCTAATCCCTGTCAACCATTTATACCAGCTCTTTAGAAAGGTTATTTGGGGCTTCCCTGTCACTGTGGCTTTCAATATGCCCTGTGAGTGCCAAATTTTCCAAGCCCTCTTTACTCATTATATACCTTCTTTCTTTCCCATTCGGTGCCAATAACCATTACACCACCCACACATGTTCACCCGATAATGATGACCATATATTTGACCATTACTATTGAGTGGGATATTAACTGAGCGCCCCGTGCTTGTAGTCTTGTGCCAAAAGTAAACTTGGATCATCATCATCTTGCGGCCTCAGCCGAGATTGAACTCACTACACCTTTCCAGTATTCCTTATCTGTCATAGCTTATACTTTGATTGGTGTAGTTCATAATCTTGTCACATAGCTGAATTCTTGATGCTTCGCTAGGGCTATCAAGGGTGTTTTTATCGTGACACCATCACTAAATGGATTACCAACCAAGGCTAAGAGAGACTCCATTCACCCTCCACAGGTTTTGAATTCAGAGTTGTCCTTCTCCTAGACCATTTGCCATCCAAGGCTATAGAACCCAGTCTGTCCTGCTATTTACCCATAGCTGGAGGGAGAAGAATAGGATTCACACCTTCCCAAGGGAATTAGCACGTAAGTGAATGTAATGGATTCAACTGGAATTCGAACTCGGCTCTCTGATTCCTCAATCCAAGCCGCTATCCATTACTCCACCGGCAACAGAGCAGGTGTCAATATTTCTAGTGGCATTTAAGTTCACGAATTACAAGTACACTATGTCTTCTTCGTTGTGTCATTAGGACGTAGGCAGTTATGGCCCTCCACAACTTCCTATCCTTAGTAGCTTATAGCAAGGTTGGTCTCTTTTCCTCTCCCTCCTAATCCATGAGGATGTTAGGAAGGTTTGTTTTTCTCTGCCTTCCTCTGTCTCTCTTGGCTTTTATGATATGTCCCGGAAAGAGATATATTTGACCAAAGTAGCTAAGCGGGTTTAGTTACTGTAACCAAGTAGTACACGGTAGCAGTAATCGATTGGTACTCGTCGTAGTCGCAGGTAATAGGTGTAGACCAATAGGATCGCAAGTGGTGTAGTCCAATGGGCGTCGTCAAAGACTTAAAACGCTGTCGTACCTACACGTCCGTCTGTATTTATGACGGGCACCAGCCAATCATGTTCCAGTGAGGGGTAACTCGGGTGTATGCATATTCCATTATATCAACTTATGACCTTATCATGTTAAAACGCCGGCTCCCGTTCGATCACCGAAGTTAAGCAACGTCGAGCCCGGTCAATACCTGGATGGGAATACCACGTGCTGTAAGCTTGGGTATTCATAAAGTCGAAGTACGAGAGAGGAATGTTCATTAAAACAAATGACTTGCAAGTATAGAAAAGGCAGAGAGAAGTTCCGAAGTTAAGAAGCGTCGCACCTGGTCAATACCTGAATGGGTGACCGCTTCGGAATACCAGGTGCTGTAATCTTGGGTATTCATAAAGTCGAAGTACGAGAGAGGAATTTTCATCAAAACAAATGACTTGCAAGTATAGAAAAGGCAGAGAGAAGTTCCGAAGTTAAGAAGCGTCGTGCCTGGATGGGTGACCGCTTGGGAATACCAGGTGCTGTAAGCTTGGGTATTCATAAAGTCGAAGTACTAGAGAGGAATGTTCATCATTGCAATTATAGAAAGGGCAGAGGAAAGTCAAGTCACGGCAGTGGAAAAATGATTGAAGCCGAGATGCCAGGTCATGACCATTAACATTGCAGATAAGTCTTTGAATTTTGTCAAGAATCTCTATATAGATCGCAGAAGCGTCTGTGGGCTCTTCGACGTGGTGTAATGGTTTGCAAACTTGTCTCATTAGGTCAATTAAAAATGATTAGTGAGTTTACTCTTCACAGGGAGCTCCATAGTTTCTTCCTTGTCCCACACCTAAGGTACCCTTAGATAACTACCATAGCAGAAGTACCCGACTAGATGTATTATCTGTGAACGAATTGTCCACCATTCACTGTCATATAGGCGGGGATTGATATTGAATAACAGTTGTGCACTTTTTGCTTGCAACGAAAATTTCCCGTTACTTGATTCTTCACTTAGCTTTTAGAAAGCATCTTTCGCCATGCCAGTGCGCCTTCGGATTTCTGTATTCTCATAATTAATGGTTTCTCCTTCTTGCCTGTCTTCCTTTACAACCTTCCGTTTATTGTGTAGAAAGACATCCGATCTTCTCTATACCAGCTGTTGAACACCGACTCGCCCATTTACTATGAGTAGGCTGTCTGCTCATAGGAACATAGTCGCAAAGTGGGTAGTAGCGTTGAGGCGTACGCATTGCCAAACGGAACTACGTTATTCGCTCTTATTATGTAATTAATCTATATCCCTTATGTGATTAAACCTTTTCTTCATTAATCTTTTAATCCAGTATTTTCCCTACACCATCATTCTCCAGAACTAGATTATAGGAGCATTTTTTTCTTTCCATTTTTACTAATTTTCACTTAAGGACCAAGAGCCACTCAAGGTCGAGGTTTACTGTGTACAGTTGTATTAGTGTAAGGAGTATAGAGTGGAAGTAGACTATAGAAGGAACCGAAACCTAAACCTGAACTCTTAACAAGGGATAAACCTCTGCTCTTGTTCAAATGACTGAGGACGAAAGAAAAATGGAACAATAGGCCGGAGAAAAAAATATTTAGTAAATAAAATTTTAGAGTTCAGACAGAGATTTTAGAAGTATAGAATTGAAGTAGACTTTAGCAGAAGGAACCGGAAACCGAATCCTAAACGGGAAAGAAGGGATAAACCTGTATTATTGTTCAAAAGATCTGGGAGGAGTTTAAACTGGACGACAGACAAACATATCTAATATTGAAGAGAGAAACATATTTAAAAAATAAAATTTTAGAGTTCAGACAGATATTTTTGAAGTATAGAATTGAAGTAGACTTTAGCAGAAGGAACCGGAAACCGAATCCTAAAAAGGAAACAGGCACTAAACTTCTGTTTAAAAGACACGTAAGGAGTGTGAACCGGGCGATAGAATTTCCTTTCCGTGTGTTCCTTCACTGCTGTGTTATATGTTGTTAAGATTGTCTCCATTAATAATAGTAGGACCTCTAGTTCTCTCAGGAGCGCATTACTGAAGAGGTTGATCAAATTCGGTGAAAAGACGCATTCTTGTATTAACATTACTGTCTTTTAAATGGTACAGATGACAATAGTAATAGTGCCGCCTGTATTATTTGGTAATTTTATCATGATTCTGATTGTAATGGCACTTTGGCGTAGCTTTGTTTGTCTCAAGGTAAAAATTATCTGCCGAAAGCCTGCATCGTTCCAATTCAACAATGAGAACGGGATGAGACGAAGGAGGATGAAGACGGAACCAATTTCGGAATAATTATAGTCATTTGGCTGCTTCTTCAAAGCTACATGCTTCCAAACAGCACTTCGCAACCATTGAGGAAATTTGCATATCTCTTTGTGGAGAGACATCAGTCTGTAAAAAAAAAAAAAAAAAAAAAAAAAAACGAGTATTATTTCTTCATATAGATATCTACATAAATAAATCGGTAATCTAATGAGGGTAAAAAAAAAACAAGTATTTCAGAACAAAATATATATATATATATATATATATATATATATATAATATATATATATATATATATATTCTGCTTCCTTGTCAAGGCACCTAATTCGGTGCCGAATAGGTAGACATATCAGCAGATCTGATATGAATTAGAATGATTATATTGAATCAAGCGGTAAGTCTGTCCGCTTCTGAGCAAGTTGGTTCACGGTGTCGTGCAAGACAAGTTTTCGCGCCAAAATTTATCTTACGCATTTATAAGGCTATTATTAGGTTGGTACAAAAATAATGACGTAATAATGTCGTTTTTTGACGTATTTTTTAACGTCAAAAAACGATATTATTACGTCATTATTTTTGCACTAACCTAATATTTGTCCAGGCATTTAATACGGCTCTCACATCTGGTCTGATACTTCTACTAATGTATTTAGAGATTCCTAATAAGACCCAAAGAAGCCCCTGCAATGTTATTGGTCCTGGCCTATCATCCCGCCTTCAGTCACTTTCCCATCTCCGTAACGTAGATTCAAATTGGATTTTACATAAATATTTTCATCGTAATTCTTCTTGTGTGTCTTCCTCTTTGGTACCTAGACTTTATGAATTCAATAGCATTACCAGATTGGCAACTAAGTTTCATCATTTTTCAGTTGAAATGGCTAGATGTAACCGTAAGTTCTATGCTAACAGTTTCTTCTATTGCACTTCTCACTTGTGGAACTCTCTTTCACCTCACTGCTTTCCGATCAACTTTGATCTTAAAAAAAAAAAAAATTAAATGCAATGTTTTCTTAATTCCTGTTCTTTTAGTGTTCTCTCTCACCCTTTACTAATGTTTTCTTTTTCTTATATTCTTTCACACTAAGTAACTCCTTGCTTCTTAGTGGCTTTATTGCCTTGCTTGCAATGAAATGTTTACGACAAAAAAAGGTTACTCACTCGACGAAGGAGTCACGGAGACGTCATCAGCGACAAGGAAATTAATAAAAGGTTGACAATGATTGTACGCGTACGCGAGTTAACATTTCGACATAGTTTTGTAATCATTTCCCCCCAAGCAAGGCAATAAAGCCACAAAGACGGAAGGTGCATACAGAAATGATTGAGAACAGAGTAATTAGAAACAAGAAATTAACAAAAGAGTAATTTTAAAATACAAGTTTGATTAAAGGTCAGTGAGGCGTACGGCCATATCAGGTTGAAGATCATCAAAGTTAAGCAAGCCGGCTCAATATCTGTATGGGTGACCGCTTGAGAATGTCAGGCGCTGTAAGCTTGGATGTTCGGCCGTGTAATAGATCATGGGGGAGAATCAAGTTTCAATCTCAGTTGGGTTCGTTATATTCACTTACGCGAAAATACCCTTGGGAAAGGCATGAATCCACGTCTTCTCCCCAGCTATGGGTTAATTAGTAATACTTGTATCACTAAATCAGCATTATGATGATGGATGTAATGTATAATGGTTCGGAATTTTCAATCGGAGAGCCAAGTTCCAATTCCAGTTGGGTTCGTTATTTTAACTTACGCGCAAATACATTTGTTTCTGGTATGAATTCAACTCTTCTCCCCTCTCAGCTACGGGTTAATTAGTAATAATTGTATGACTAAATCATTATTATCTCAAAAAAAGTTCTTACAATCTAAAAATATTTTATGGCTTTAAATAACCTGCAAAGGGTTGATAAAACAAAGAAAACGAACCAGTTAATAAAAAGGATTGGAAAATGGATTGGAAAATGGATTGGAAAATACCTGAATATGATTAGGAAGTTGAAAAAAAAAGTATGGAATATGGCTGTTGAAGTAATTCTTGTGGCAACAGATGCTCTTGGAACACCATCTAGAAAATTGAAAGAGCGCTTAGGAAAAATTGTATTTGGGACTACGATTATAGACTTAAAGAAATCGAGAATCATTTATTCCACGCTTAATTCTCCGAAATGTTTATTCTTACTTATTCGTTCTTCTTTCAAAATAAGAGGATGTTATTCATGAAAACTAAAAAAAAAAAAAACTTCTATGTATCTTTTCATAATGTGAACGATCATGGTTCTCCACAGCTTCCTATCCTTTGTAACTCTTAGCAATGATTGTTGTCTTAAACAGTTGAAATGTGAAAGACTTAAACCCAAAAGGATCGGAATTTACTCTGGATCAATTAGAAACAATGTTTATTAATTCTCATACAACTGTTTGGGTGTTGTAAAATACGACAATGGTGCGTTAAGGTTTGGGGATAAAACACCTAATCAATTGCTATCCCAAGAACTACGGGGTAACGGGTAAATAAGGGGAAAAGACGGGGTGGGGAGGAAAAAACAATATCTTAGAAGCCACAACACGGTTGTAATATTGTATGACTGAGTTGGGATGAAACATATTGTCATTAGGTCATCGACTCAATTTAGGTAAAGTTGAGTAAAGAATAATGTCTGTTTTAATCTAAACGTATGCCGATGGTGCAACGATCAGCTGTTCCATTGTTTAGGTAGGGCAACTACAGATATATATATATATATATATATATATATATATATATATATATATATATATCTCAGAAGACTTGTTAGAATAAGGCAGTGTTCTGCGTTTGTACAGAAAATGATGTCGGGCTCTTACTGTGTGCCCACCGGTTGACACGTCTGGCCACAGTGTTGTATGCACTGCCACCCCATCGGAACTGCTGTTGGGAAAATAGAAGTGGATTATTCACCTAATTTGTTATGTTCGGTGTGTCCAAGTGAATATTTCTCCGACTTCATCCGCTTGTGAGCATAATCCAACCTTGACAGCTTCGGCCAACACCGATGAAAAAAAAAAAAAGAAAGAAAAGAAAACAATAACAAAAAATAAAACAAAACAAAACAAAAAGAAATCAATGAAACACAACGTGGGGTCGATTGCTTGTTTAGGGAATCTGTCCAGACGGTAGTATATGGGCCACATGGTGAGCGGTACGCATCTTGAGAAAAAAAGGAGGGAGAGTAAGGAGACGAACGTTGGCAGATTATAGGAAGTCGTGGAGAGTCATGCTCACGTACGATACAGAGAAGAGAAAATGGAGAAGAAGAAGAAGAAAGAAAGAAAGAAAGAAATCGTATAGTAACTAAAGTAAAAAGATGGGTAAATTGAGAAGAAGAAGAAGAAGAAGAAGAAGAAGAAGAAGAAGAAGAAGAAGAAGAAGAAGAAGAAATATAATAACTAAAGAAAAACGAATGAGAAAATGAGAAGAAGATGGAATTGATGAAGAAGAAGAAGAAGAAAGAAATCCTATAATAACTAAAAAAAGAACGGGGAATTGAGAAGAAATAATAATAATAATAATAATAATAATAATAATAATAATAATAATGAGAAGAAGAAGAAGAAGAAGAAGAAGAAGAAGAAGAAGAAGAAGAAGATTCAAGTGTAATGTCAATCGACATCTCCAGTTACCTTGATCTATCCACTACCCTTCTCCTCATCCTTTCTTCTATCACTCCTATCTGATCTTGCTCTAAATTTTCTGTAACCCCTTGCGCCCTAGTGGCTTCCCGCCTTGCTTGGGGTGAAAAAAAAAAACAAAAAAGAAAATATTTTAGTAGAGCCACTTAAAATTTTGCTGTTTCCTCTTACAATCTACCTTAGGTTGATAAATATTGTCAAATCAAATTCCTGTATGTTTTTTTTTCGCAAAACAAGTTTCTGCAGGTCATGATACCCGGAAGTCATTAGGGACTGAAGGGTGGGGGGGGGTATTACCAAATGGACTTTAGCCATGACAACATTAATGCAACATGAGCAGAATAGTCTGATGGCGCATAAGCTGACTTTAAAATTCAGAGTATTTTTTTCTGCAAGTCCTCCTGCCTCCCTCCCTGAAGGCAAGAGAATCTTAGTTTCCACAGCTACTTAAACCAATAGCTGGTGGCTGGGTGGATTTATACGTTTCCCAAATGTTTTCGTACGAAAATGATCTTAACCGATTTGACCTGAAATCGAACTCGGCACGTTGGGTTCTTTTTCCCCCGAATCGCTAATTTTTACACTAGCTGAACATCCTTCTGCACATGTGTGAATGCGAAATTAAACGAAGCTATTTCCAATGGATCTCAAATTAGGCATTTAATAACGGATGCTCAATTTGACATGTTTACGAGTGGGACTGAGAAAAATACAAAGCAAGGCTTCAAGACAGTCATGAATAATTTTCTTCTTCTTCTTTTTCTTCTTCTTCTTCTATGGGCCGTGTCCCTTTCGGGCGTGGGCGATTCTGGCTCACCACAACTTCTTACCCTTCATAGTGCTTAGCAACGTTTGTCTTAGCAAGGTCACTCGCTGTTTTACCTCTGTCACGTTTGCCTGTCCTGTGGGTACCAATTTCTCCAAACCTTCTTTCCTCATTACATGTTCTAGAAATTTCAACACAGTTTCTGATTCTAAGTATAGTTGTTTTTTTTTTGTTTTTTTGTTTTTCATTTTCCTGACGACTTTGTCGTTACTCATATATTTGCTCCATCGTATTCTCAGCATCCTTCTGTAGAACCAAATTTCCATTGCCGCAAGCGTATTCTTCAAATAGGAAGAGACTGTACAGCATTCACTGCTATATTGGGGTGGGGGTTGATATTGCACAGCAGTTCAGCAGTGTTTTCTTTGTTTCAAATTATGTTTTTTTTTCTGTTTCTCTCTATAGATGGCCAGAAATTTAATGGATAGAGGTTTGGTTCCTATCACCTGCCAGAATTTCTGGGATGACCTGTTATCGTTATTTACATGCCGACTATTGTCCCCATCTTTGTTGTTATCATCAACTGATCGCATTCCATCTGAATTTCTGGGGTTGAGGAGTTATTATGATTTACACTATTTACATATGGACTATTCTCCTTTGTCAATATTATCAAAATATTCTGGCTTAAAAATTGTGATGAAGACAATAATCCACATGTAAATTGTATAAATAATTTATTTTGATGTTTAAATATTTTCAAAACATTTAAATAAAACAAGTAAAATCTTGTTAACTATTGAACAATTATACAGTTTTATTGATCAGATTTAACATAACATAAAATTATATTTCTATTACCTTACCGGAAGAGTTCATTGTATATAAATGTGCAATTTACCCATTTCTATGTAATGGATTCTTCCAGTGTCATTATTATAAGTATTACACATAAAAATATAAGTTGATTTTTTATATATTAAATATTTCGCATAATTTATTTGACAGGTGTTTGCCATTTCACTATTTCTCAGTTGGTTACAGGGTGGCTGGCTGGTATAATTCGAAAATACGTTTTTAAGTAGGCGCCCAAGGGGGTCGTCAGTGATGTTTTGATTTGGTTTATCAGAGAGTTTCGGGTCTTTCAACATCATACTCCCCATCACGAAATCGACCCAATCAGGGGAGATCAACCCCTGATTCCCACTTCCACTTAAACTCTTACAGCTACTCTGGCCTTTTTAAAGAATAAGAGGAAGAAAGACCACATATTCCGCACATCCGATTGGATGTTTGTAACAACCAATCCGGTGCGCGAAATATCTTTTAAATGGCCCGCGGTGGGGACTGGCTTCTTTTCTTATTTCGGTGGATTGCGGTTTCGATGGATAATCGAGGAGATAATCTTAGTGCTCCTAAATCTTACCCTTTTCCTTAAGTATTGTATGGTTTAATTATTTGCCGTTTTTATTTTATTTTCGTTGGCGGGGATACTTAAACTCAACCCTATTATCACATTGTATCGTTTAGCCTGTTTCTTAACATTATTGCATGTTAACTTTAAATAGATGTATTCGCAAAATTAAGATAATAATTGTTCATAAACATGGCGTATATACATATATATATATATCCCGTACATACAAAAATGAAATTAAAAATAAAATAAAATAAAAGTACAATAAGCACTATAATATTCCTTAACATTGATTTAAACTATATACAAATTTGAAGTCGTTAAATATAATAGACGACGAAATGATCTTGGGTTATATCAAGTATTAACGAAGCTTCATATTATATTTATATATATGTATCGCTTTCTTTCTTTTGCTTTCGGTCAGTATCCCAAAGTCAAACTAGTAACGTTTAACGACCACCAATAGGAGTAGACAGTTTCGCCTATCGTCCGGTTTACACTCCTCTCCGGTCTTCTGAACAGAAGCAGAGGTTTCTTGTTGTTTACGTTTAGGATTGGTGTTGTTTAAAAAGACGACCGACCTTCGCAACAATAAAGTGCTGAACGCGGACTCTTCTATTGGTTATAAATGGTTATTTTCTAAGCGTAATAAATGGGGCACCTAGTGAGGATCGAACTCACTTTTCAGTCGTAACTGATAAAGCGAGAGAAGCTAGCTAACCATTATACCACGCCGAGGTGCCCTATAGCGATTTTCTAAGGGTAGCCCAGATGTGGCACAAGGCCAAAATTATGGGGCACCTAGTGAGGATCGAGCTCACTTTTCAGTCGTAACTGTTCTAGCTAACCATTGCGCTATGTCAATGTCCTTCTCATTGGCTATGAATGTAGTCACATGTGATACTCAAAGGAGTCGAGCAGTAGTCGGAAAGTTTATGGCACTAACGACGATATTCGCCAGTATCGTAATATTAAGCCACGTAATTAAAAAATTCTCTCACGAATCATGTGTTGAAGTGTTTTTCTTTGGGATATTATTAACCCGAACTCTGTGTTGATACCAGCATAATAACAATTGAGCTTCCAGTTCCTTCTAAAGTCTACTTCAACATTATACTTCTAAAGTCTCCCCTTGAACTCTGAAATTTTATCCCCTAAATAATTTTTCTCCCCTTCTATCTCAAAAGGAATCGATAGGTGCGCCTTTCATCCGTATCAACATCCTCCCCTGTCTTTTGAACAGGAGTAAATGTCTATCCCATCATTCCTCTTTACGTCTGCGTTTCCGGTTCTTTCTAAAGTCTACTTCCTCTATATTTCTAACGTCTTCCACTGAACCCTGAAATGTTATTCACTAATGAAATCTTGACCTATTCGAAACTAGAGTTAGCTATTATCCATAACCCCAAGTTCATTTCTTGCCCGTTTAACTACAGTAACAAGGTACTATTTATCAATTTGCTATAAAATGTACTGTCGGTAATTTTACTATAAATAGGATTTATTGGTAATTTTATGATAAAAATGTATTTTTATATTTTCCAAGTGCTTTGTTTTTGTTTGGGAATTCACTATTTGCCCATAGCTGGGATCCTAACAGGTGCTACCACAATGGATCAAGGTGGACCTGGAGGTGGTTTCACATTTCTCAAAACCTCCAGTCGCTCAATCTGAGGCCTTGCTGCCGGAAGTAGTTTATCGTGTGGTTTTGGTTTGGTTTATTTTGTTTTACGACATATCAACCTAAATGAGTTATTTAATGTCGACAAAGTTTTATTATTAGTAATATTTTTTTAAATATTTATTGCTAGTAATATTTTTCCTTCAAAAATCTATTTCTGCTAATATTTTTTTCAAAAATGTATAGCTGGTAATACCTTTTTTTCAAAAACTTATAGCTGGTAATATTTTTTCCCTAAAATGTATTGCTGTTAATAATTTTTTCTTCAAAAAAATGTATTGCTGGTAATAATTTTATTTTTATTTATAATTTAATCAAACTCGGCAAAAGACAAAGGTATCTGCCTAACAAGTTGAATTAAGAATCTCGTGTTAAGAACCATCGCCCCTCCCCCACCCCGGCTGTCGAGACCCTTAAGTGCATGTCAGGATATAATGGTTAGTGAAGTCAGTTACTTTCCCGCGTCGTACGCTTCGTGCGCAACTGCGAAAACCAAAATGTCGGAACAGTTCGCCAACCGGAAATTGGATTCCCTTCGATCCTTTTGAATAATAGTCGATGATTTATTTTGCGTCTCTCTTCACAAATCTGTCTCGATGCTGTTGCTCTTAATCGGACCAAACATTGGAAGAGAAAGCGACATTCTCAAATGCTACCCTGGAATTTAATAAGATTATATAGACTGGTGACGTATGGTTTACGGTCGACTAATCGGTGAGCCACAGATCAAATTCCAGTCGCATACGTCATATTCACTTTGTTTAAAAAAAAAAAAAAACACCCCTAGGGAAAAATACAAAAAAACAAAAAAAAAAAAAACAACAAACAAACAAAACAAATCCATCTGCTCTCCCCATTAACTATGGGTTAAATACTAGAACAGACTGGGTTGGAATTTAATCTAAACGAAAGATTACTCAAAAACATATGTGACCCTTGTGGAGCGCATATTGTAACTGTTGTGGTGTTCTCCCTCTAAAGCGTCTATGTTGGACTCTTCCGCCTACTATAAGATTAGTAGGAGAGAAGGCCTTGGGGGAAGATTGTTCATTGCTGTCGAACTCTCTGACTCGGCGGAGAGGAACCCGGATGAAGCTTTGTCGCAGGGCAAAGTTTCGTCTAGAGAGGTAGGCAATCCCTGAACCCGTTTAGGCGGGTTCCAAGGGAATATTTTTGGCCAAGCTTACGGGCTCGGAGTGCCCATAACAAACCGGCCTTTTGCCACATACACCTTCGTGGTGGTGGTGGTGGTGGGGGGGGGCTGTGTTACATATTAACAGTCTACCAGAGGAACCCGGATGAAGCTTTGCCGCAGGGGAGGTAGACCGTCCCTGAACCCGTTTATGCAGCTTCTAAGAGTATATTTTTGGCCGAGCCCACGGTCTCGGAGAACCCACGGTAAACTCGGCCTTGCGCCACATACATCCCTCCTGGCAGGGGTTGTTAAATATTAACATTCGACCAGACTATTCGTAACTGTCGAACTCTCTGCCACGGCGGAGAGGAACCCGGACGAGGCTTTGCCGCAGGGCAAAGTTTCGTCCGGGGAGATAGACAGGCCCTGAATCCGTTTAGGCGGGTTCGAAGAGAATATTTTTGGCCAAGCCTACAGGCTCGGAGAACCCGTGGTAAACTCGGCCTTGTATCATATACATCCCTCCTGGGGAGGGGGTGCTGTTAAATATTAACAGTCAAATAGATTGACGCTGGGTCAACCGTCACACACTAACTAGTCGTGTAATACTCTTCTGTTGTACTACTGTTTAATATATGATATATCTGCAACTCTTGTTTTGTTATATCTTTAACCATTTACTTGGTCACAACAGTAACTATTGTGTGCCCAGTAGAATTTCTGTATAGACCACAGGTTGATTCTGCGGGTGTTAAAGAAACTGAGTAGTCGGTCGTGTTCGGAGACGAGAGGCCATGCTGAAGATGATAAATCAAAATTACTTTCAGTGTACCTTCAAGACGAAGCATCTCTGCTAAGGGTTAGCCATTGCTGTAATGTGTTTTGGTTTAAGTTAAACTGTACTAACAGGTTACTCTAAGTCGCTAAGTCTCTGTCTAGACTGTTTTCTATTAAATAAAAAATTGGACGTCTATTTCAAATACGAAGTATTCACTGTAATAATATTTGAAGTCGTAAAAAGAATGTATTAAGAATATGTCCATTAATTTTTTAAGTTTACATGTGTGTTTCAGATTGTTTCTATCTATCTATCTATCTATCTATCTATCTATCTATCTATCTATCTATCACAGCCTGTTCATATCTATCTATCTATCTATCTATCTATCTATCTATCTATCTATCTATCTGTGTTCATTACTGTTTGTTAGCTATTAATACTGATCAACGCATACACCCACTCTTATACATACAGATCTGTATGTTTGTATGAGTGAATCGCCTCACGCAAACGCACAGTCCCACAGACATACGCATATATATGTATATATATATATATATATATATATATATATATATATAATGTGTATGTATGCAGGTATATACGCGCTCAGACAGATATGAGGGTATATTTTGGCTTTAGTAAAGACGAGCTAACACGTCTATAGAAAAGATGTAAAAAAGAATAAAAACTTTCAGTTTTAAATATCTCTTTACTCGACAATTTGGCGCGTGGGAGGGGGCTTGTTTTCATCGCCACTGACATGTGCCTCCAGTTTCCTTTCTGGCGCAGACGAGTAACTACAATTTGATTTCTTTATTGCCGCCATGTTCAAACATGGCCGCAATAACCTCGGGATATGGGTGTTCAGACCGTAGAAATGTAAAAGGCTCCATTCTTCTTCTTCTTCTTGACTGTTACACGGCGGCCAGGGAGTGGGAAAAAAGGGCGTGGTGGTTATCTAATAACGTGCATCGACATTTTCATTCGGATCGTTTCTCTGTATTTGCTTAGGTAATTGTGTTTTTCTTTTCACACACACAAGCACAAAGATGCAAACTCACACACTAGACACAATAAACACACACACATAAATTTTATTTTTTAAAACCGTGTGGGCGTGATTTTAACGAATGTAATTTTTTTTTTACATGTCAGGGTGTATGTGGATTTTTTTTTTTTAAAGATATTCACCCAGACATATGCCCGAAAAAGTTGATACTTTCTTCAATAATGATGATATCTTTTTGATGAAGGACAAAAGTTGGGTGCCTTTGCAAGTAGTCTTGTGGAGTAATGGATATCGCCCCGGCATGAAAATTCGGAGCGCCGAGTTCGAATTTCATTTATGCGCAAATACCCTTATGGTTTGAATGCATCTTTTCTTCCCCCAAGCTATGGGTTGAATAGTAGAACAGACTGGGTTCTATAGGCTCGCTTGGCAACCAGACTGTAACAAAAAAAAAATGGCTGCCTATTGCAGGAAAATCTCTACCTTCTCAGTCATGAATTGAAAAATAGCCCAAGGAACATAACTGATTGATTACAAATGGGTTAAAATTCAATTGGGGAGGTATTTCTCTGCACATTCATTTGAATATGCAATGGCCACTCTTTTTGCCATTCGTCGCTCCCTCTTCATATTTCTCTTCTTGTTACATTTCATTTGAACCAATCCGAGCCCCCAAGTGAGGTGTAAGGTAAAACGTTGGTGATATCTCATTGTAGTGTGAGACACTATTTTGTCAGCCCAGGCTTAGCATCAAATATGTAGAAAAAGAGGGATGATTGTCTTGTCTCTCGTTGTGTTTCGTTAAGTCTTTAGAAGAAAAAGAAAGAAAGAATATTGAAGTAATATGAAAAAAGGTAAATAAAAGAAAATGGGAAGCAAAAAAAGGAAAAGGAAAAAGAAGTAACGGAAAGAAAGAAAAAAGAAAAAAGAAAAAAGAAAAAAGAAAGAAAGAAGTAAGAAAAAAGGAAAAGAAAGAAAGAAAGAAAGAAGTAACAAAAGAAATAAGAAAGAAAGAAAGAAAGAAAGAAGTAACAAAAGGAAATAGAAAGAAAAAAGAAAAAGTAACAAAAGAAATAGAAAGAAAGAAAGAAAAAGAAGTAACAAAAGGAAATAGAAAGAAAGAAAGAAAAGAAAAGTAAACAAAAGGAAAAGAAAGAAAGAAAGAAGTAACAAAAGGAAATAGAAAAGAAAGAAAGAAAGAAAGAAGTAAGAAAGAAAAGAAAGAAAGAAACAAAAAGTAAATAGAAAGAAAGAAAGAAAGAAGTAACAAAAGGAAAGAAAGAAAGAAAAGAAAGAAAAGAAAGAAAATAAAAGGAAAGAAAGAAAGAAAGAAGAAACAAAAGAAAATAGAAAGAAAGAAAGAAAGAAAGAAGAAGTAACAAAATAGAAAAGAAAGAAAGAAAGAAAGAAAAAAAAAGGAAATAGAAAGGAAAAAGAAAGAAAGAAAGAAAAGAAGTAACAAAAGGAAAAGGAAAAAAGAAAGAAAGAAAGAAAGAAAGAAGTAACAAAAGGAAATAGAAAGAAAGAAGTAAATAAAAAGGAAATAGAAAGAAAGAAAGAAAGAAAAAGGAAATAGAAAGAAAAGAAAGAAAGAAGTAACAAAAGGAAAGAAAGAAAGAAAGAAAGAAAGAAAACAAAAGGAAATAGAAAGAAAAAAGAAGTAACAAAAAGGAAAAGAAAGAAAGAAAGAAGTAACAAAAAGGAAAGAAAGAAAGAAAGAAAGAAAGAAGAAAAAGAAAGAAAGAAACAAAAAGAAAGAAGAAAGAAAGAAAGAAAGAAAAAAAAAGGAAATAGAAAGAAAGAAAGAAAGAAAAAGAAGCAGTAACAAAAGAAAGAAAGAAAGAAAGAAGAAAAAAAAGAAATAGAAAGAAAGAAAGAAAGAAATAAAAAAAAAAATAGAAAGAAAGAAAAGAAAAAGAAAAGAAAGAAAGAAAGAAAACAAAAGGAAATAGAAAGAAAGAAAGAAGTAAAAAAAGGAAAAGGAAAAAAGAAAGAAAGAAAAGAAAGAAAGAAGTAAATAAAAAGAAAAGAAAGAAAGAGAAATAAAAAGGAAATAAAAAGAAAGAAAGAAAGAAAAAGAAAGAAGTAACAAAAGAAAAAGAAAGAAAGAAAGAAAAAACATAAGGAAAAAAGAAAGAAAGAAAGAAAAAAAAAGAAGGAAATAAAAGGAAAAGAAAGAAAGAAAGAAAGAAGTAACAAAGGAAATAGAAAAGAAAGAATTAACAAAAGGAAATAAAAGAAAGAAAAAAGAGAAAGAAAGAAAAGAAAGAAGTAAACAAAAGAAATAGAAAGAAAGAAAGAAGTAAATAAAAGGAAATGGAAAGAAAGAAAGAAAGAAAAAGTAACAAAAAGAAAGAAAGAAAGAAGTAAATAAAAAAGAAAAAAAAAGAAAGAAAGAAAGAAGTAAATAAAAGGAAATAGAAAGAAAGAAAGAAGCAAACAAAAGGAAATAGAAAGAAAGAAAAGAAAGAAAGAAGTAACAAAAAAGGAAATAGAAAGAAAGAAAGAAGTAACAAAAGGAAATAGAAAGAAAGAAAGAAAGAAAACAAAAGAAATAGAAAGAAAGAAAAAGTAATAAAAAGGAAAAGAAAGAAAGAAAGAAGTAACAAAAGGAAATAGAAAGAAAGAAAGAAAGAAGTAACAAAAGGAAATAGAAAGAAAGAAAGAAAGAAAGAAAGAAGTAACAAAAGGAAATAGAAAGAAAGAAAGAAAGAAAGAAGTAACAAAAGGAAATAGAAAGAAAGAAAGAAGTAACAAAAGGAAATAGAAAGAAAGAAAGAAGTAACAAAAGGAAATAGAAAGAAAGAAAGAAAGAAAGAAAGAAACAAAAGGAAATAGAAAGAAAGAAAGAAAAGAAAGAAAGAAAACAAAAGAAATAGAAAGAAAGAAAGAAGTAACAAAAGGAAATAGAAAGAAAGAAAGAAGTAACAAAAGGAAAAAGAAAGAAAGAAAGAAAGAAGTAACAAAAAGAAATAGAAAGAAAGAAAGAAGTAACAAAAGGAAATAGAAAGAAAGAAAGAAAGAAAGAAGTAACAAAAGGAAATAGAAAGAAAGAAAGAAGTAACAAAAGGAAATAGAAAGAAAGAAAGAAAGAAAGAAGAAAACAAAAGAAAGAAAGAAAGAAAGAAGTAAATAAAAGGAAATAAAAGAAAGAAAGAAAGAAGTAACAAAAGGAAATAGAAAAGAAAGAAAGAAAGAAAAGAAGAAATAAAAGAAAAAGAAAAGAAAGAAAGAAGGAAATAAGGAAAAAAGAAAAGAAAGAAAGAAGTAACAAAAAAAAGAAGAAAGAAAGAAAAAGAAAGAAAAGAAAGAAAGAAAAAAGAAAGAAAAAAAAAGGAAAAAGAAAGAAAGAAAGAAAATAAAAGGAAAAGAAAGAAAGAAAGAAAGAAAAAAAGGAAAAAAAGAAAGAAAGAAACAAAAGGAAAAGAAAGAAAGAAAAGAAAAAGGAAATAAATAAAAGAAAAGAAAGAAAGAAAGAAGTAACAAAAAGAAAAGAAAAAAGAAAGAAAGAAAGAAGTAACAAAAGGAAATAGAAAGAAAGAAAAACAAAAAAAAGGAAAGAAAGAAAGAAAGAAAGAAAAAAAGGAAAGAAAGAAAGAAAGAAGAAATAAAAAAGGAAAAGAAAGAAAGAAAGAAAGAAGTAAATAAAAGGAAAAGAAAAGAAAGAAAGAAATACAAACAAAAGGAAATAGAAAAAAGAAAGAAAGAAAGAAAACAAAAGAAAATAAAAGAAAGAAAGAAAGTAACAAAAAAAGGAAAAGAAAGAAAGAAAGAAATAAAAAAAAAGAAAGAAAAGAAAGAAAGAAAAGAAGAAAAAAAGGAAAAGGAAAAAAGAAAAAGTAAATAAAAGGAAAAGAAAGAAAGAAAGAAAGAAGTAAAAAAAAAAATAAAAGAAAGAAAGAAGTAAACAAAGGAAATAGAAAGAAAGAAAGAAAAAGAAAAAAAGAAAAAGAAAGAAAGAAAAAGTAAAAAAGAAAAGAAAGAAAGAAAGAAAGAAGAAAAAAGAAATAGAAAGAAAGAAAGAAAGAAGTAACAAAAGGAAATAGAAAGAAAGAAAGAAAGAAAGAAAGAAGTAAAAAAAAGGAAAAGAAAGAAAGAAAGAAAGAAGTAAATAAAAGGAAATAGAAAGAAAGAAAAAAGAAACAAAGGAAATAGAAAAAGAAAGAAAGAAAGAAGTAAAAAAAGGAAATAGAAAGAAAGAAAAAGAAAGAAAAAGGAAGAAAGAAAAGAAAGAAGTAACAAAAGGAAAAGAAAGAAAGAAAGAAAGAAAAGTAAAAAAGGAAAAAAGAAAGAAAGAAGTAACAAAAGGAAATAGAAAGAAAGAAAGAAAGAAGTAACAAAAGGAAATAGAAAGAAAGAAAGAAAGAAAGAAAGAAGTAACAAAAGGAAATAGAAAGAAAGAAAGAAGTAACAAAAGGAAATAGAAAGAAAGAAAGAAAGAAAGAAAGAAAGAAGTAACAAAAGGAAATAGAAAGAAAGAAAGAAAGAAGTAACAAAAGGAAATAGAAAGAAAGAAAGAAAGAAGTAACAAAAGGAAATAGAAAGAAAGAAAGAAAGAAGTAACAAAAGGAAATAGAAAGAAAGAAAGAAAGAAAGAAGTAACAAAAGGAAATAGAAAGAAAGAAAGAAAGAAAATAAGGAAATAGAAAGAAAGAAAGAAGTAACAAAAGGAAAAAGAAAGAAAAAGAAAAAGAAAAGAAAGAAAGAAAGAAGAAAAAGGAAAAGAAAGAAAGAAAGAAGTAACAAAAGGAAATAGAAAGAAAGAAAAGAAAGAAAGAAGTAAGAAAAAAGAAAGAAAGAAAGAAAGAAAGGAAGAAGAAAGAAAAGAAATAAAAAAGGAAAAGAAAGAAAAAAGAAAGAAAGAAGTAACAAAAGGAAATAGAAAGAAAGAAAGAAGTAACAAAAAAAAGAAAGAAAGAAAGAAAGAAGTAAAAAAGTAAAAAAAAGAAAGAAAGAAAGAAGTAACAAAAGGAAATAGAAAGAAAGAAAGAAAGAAGTAAAAAAGAAAAGAAAGAAAGAAAGAAAGAAGTAACAAAAGAAAAGAAAGAAAGAAAGAAAGTAACAAAAGGAAAAAAAGAAAGAAAAGAAAGAAAGAAGTAATAAAAAGGAAATAGAAAAGAAAGAAAGAAAGTAAAAGAAAAAGAAAGAAAGAAAGAAAAGAAAGAAAAGAAAGAAAGAAAGAAGTAAAAAGGAAATAGAAAGAAAGAAAGAAAGAAAGAAGTAATAAAAGGAAATAGAAAGAAAGAAAAAGTAATAAAAGAAAAGAAAGAAAGAAAGAAAAAACAAAAGGAAATAGAAAGAAAGAAAGAAAGAAAGGAAAAAAGAAAGAAGAAAGAAAGAAAAAAGAAAGAAGTAAAAAAGGAAAAGAAAGAAAGAAAGAAGTAACAAAAGGAAATAGAAAGAAAGAAAGAAGAAAAAAAAGGAAAAGAAAAAAGAAAGAAACAAAAGGAAAGAAAGAAAGAAAGAAAAAGAAAAATAAAAGGAAAAGAAAGAAAGAAAGAAGAAAAAGAAAAAAAGAAAAGAAAAGAAAAGAAAGAAGTAACAAAGGAAATAGAAAGAAAGAAAGAAAGAAAGAAGTAAAGAAAAGGAAATAGAAAGAAAGAAAAAAAGAAGTAACAAAAAGAAAAGAAAGAAAGAAAAAAAAAAGGAAATAGAAAGAGAAAGAAAGAAAGAAAAAGAAAAAAGGAAATAGAAAGAAAGCAAACAAAAGAAAAGAAAGAAAGAAGAAACAAAAGGAAATAGAAAGAAAGAAAAAGAAAGAAGTAAAAAAGGAAAAGAAAGAAAGAAAGAAGTAACAAAAGAAATAGAAAGAAAGAAAGAAAGAAAGAAAGAAGAATAAAAAAATAGAAAGAAAGAAAGAAAGAAAAAAGAAATAGAAAGGAAAGAAAAAGAAAGAAGAAAATAAAAAGAAATAGAAAAGAAGAAAGAAAGAAGAAGAAGAAGAAAAAAGAAAGAAAGAAGACGGAAAAGAAGAAGAAGAAGAAGAAAAGAAAGAAAAAAGAAAAGAAAAAAAAAGAAGAAGAAAGAAAAAAAGAAGAAGAAGAAGAAAAAGAAAAGAAGAAGGAAAGAAGAAGAAGAAGGAGACAGCAAGCAAAGAAGAATTATGAAGTAATAATAAGAAATGAACAAGAGACAAAGGATAGAAAGAAAAGAAAAAGAAAAAGAAAGAATATTGAAGTAATATGAGCAAAAGACGAATAGCAAAGGAAACATTGGGAAGAAAAAGAAAGAAAAAAGGACGGAAGAAGTAAGAAAAGGAAATAGAAAGAAAAAAAAACAAGATGAAAAAAGAAGGTGAAGAAATTAAGAAAGAAAGAATATAGTAACTAACGGAACAAAACTGATGCGAAATAAAAAGGATAGAAGAAGAAGAAGAAGAAGAAGAAAAAGAAGAAGAAGAAGAAGAAGAAGAAGAAGGAAAAAAGAATAATGAAAATAAATAATAAATGAATAAATGAAGAAAAGAAACTAAAAGGAAAAATGATGTCGATTTTGGGGGTTGATTGCTTGTTTTGCGAACCTGACGAGATGAGAGTGGATGTCCACACGGTGAGCAGTACACAACTTGAGAAACAAGATGGGAGAGTAAGGAGACGAACATTGGCGAAGGATAGAGAAGTTGTGGAGAGTCATGATCACCCACGATACATAGAACAAAAAAATGAATAATACGAAGGAAATAGTAACTAAAGATAAAAAGAATGAAAAATTGAGAAGAAGAAGAAGAAGAAGAAGAAGAACAACAACAACAACTACAAGACAAATAAAATGGCCATCATTTACATTATTCGAACTATTGTCCTCATCTTTTTCGCCATGTTTATCACAACGTTTCGGCCGTCGTACACTCCAGCCTTTTTCAGTTAGTTGGAATGTCGAACTGAACCCTTTATTTCGCTAGAAAGGCGCTAGTTAGATCCAGTGACAGGACCCAAAGAGTGTGAGTTCAATATCTGGTTAAGGCAGTGGAGAACTTTCAGAGGAGAATTAACAGCAGATAACTGACATCCATTAAACATGGCACGTGGAAATAGAACAGTCCACCCCAGTGAGCGAAATAAAGGGTTCAGTTCGACATTCCAACCACATGAAGAAGGCCGGAGCGTACAACGGCCGAAACGTTGTGATAAACTTGGCGACAAAGATGAGGCAATAGTCCGAATAATGTAAATAGTGTACATAATACCTCATCTCAGAAATATAGACAGATACAGAAAGGCCGAAACATTGGGATAAATATGGCAACAAAGATGAGGACAACAGTCCGGATAATGTAAATAGTGTACATAATACCTCATCTCAGAAATATAGATAGATACAGATAAACTGGCGAAATGGAATTTAGAAGACGACTAGGGATGGAAAACGGGTAGAAACGAGGAATGGTCAAAAAAAAAAAAAAAAAAACGCGAAAGAAAGAAAGAAAGAAGAGAACTGAAAGAAAAAAGATAGAAATAAAAAGAAAAAAAAGTAGATGAAGGCAATGTCTTGCCACTTTGATCAGGTATTTAAACCGAAAGGCCAACCGATTCTCGATTTCCTCACACAGACCTTTCAAATAATGAGCTAAAAGAATTTACCAATCGATGGAAACCGTTCCAGGGTTTCTCGGTGTAATCTGATCTCGTGGGAGGTCCTGGCGAAAGGATAAAGGTGTTCATACCGGATCAGTCAACTGTGGATCATTTGCGGAGAAATCATTTCAAAGCATTTGACGATCACCAGCAATTACATCCGGTCAGATGTAAACGCGACTTCCTGGCCATTGTTGAGGTTGTGGTCCGCGTCAAACTATAACATCGCTAAATTGTCCAGGGTTTTGTTACAACGAAGAGGAAAACTAGAATATTAAAAAAAAAAGTATCAATGAAGAGTTTTTGCCTTTTAAAGCAGATTACGACGCTTTTTCTAAACAATATTGGTGTAATGCTGCTAAAAAAGCATATATATATATATATATATATATATATATATATATATATATATATATATATATATATATGTCTTGATATGAAACACTAACAGTTCATGATGTAATAAGTTATTTTATTGGGGTCGTAAAGACAGACCCAATTCATCAGAACATCAAATTCAAAAGGAAACATAAAATATTTCTCCAGGTTTAAATAAAAACAGTTTATGTAAAAGTTTCTACGTGAAAATAGGGGAAAAAAACATTGCTAATGTTCCAGGGTTTTGTTACCACGAAGAGGAAAACTAGAATATTAAAAAAAGTATCAATATAGAGTTTTTTTCCCTTCCAAAGCAGATTTCAACGCTTTTTCTAAACAATATTGCTGTATTACTGCTGAAATATATTATATATATATATATATATATATATATATATATATATATATATACTATGGCATGGCCCGGCGTTGCCCATGCTTGATTCAAAAATCGTACGACTCATACACCAATCGCTATCACTTGACTTAAAATATTTTTGTCCTTCCTTGCCTTTAAAGGAGTGCCCTTTGCCGTGCTGATGTTGCTACATGCCTTACTTCTTGCCTATTTCACTGCGAATTTTTTCTAAGCTCTATACTGAACATTAAATCTGTTACGAAAAAAGAACTAAACAAAATGAACACAAAATGATCAGCTTTAAAAAAGGACTCGTAACTGGAAAAACCAAATGAAAAAAGAATGTTAACAACAAATACTTTTTCGCACCTAATCCATTTCTGCGGAATCAAAATCAACGTTGAGTTTAAGCAAGCGAATGAGTCAATTGGAGTAAAGTGTCATGCAGATTTAAATTTTTCCCACTTGTGACTTTTTTTTTTGCATGCTAGTTAACATTCGTGTCAGTCATGCTGGCCAATAGAATCTTCCTGCCTATTCGTGGCAGCCAGCTATTGGCTCTCACTCTGGCCAGTAGAAAATGGCCGCAAACTACATGAAAACTGCCATAGAAGCATGAAAAAAATCGATTATTTCCACTATCGATGGGAGTTGGGAAATGCAAAGTTGTTCTTGGCCTTCCCGCTAACATGGAGCATGTGCATGTAAATTTTGGTGCAAATCCGTCGAAAATTGCAGCCGTGCATTCTTTATACACACACACACACACACACACACACACACACACACACACACACACACACACACACACACACACATCCTGCCTTTTATAGATAGATATTCTAATAAGAAACTCAAAATTGCTGCAAATGAATTTAAAAACATGCCAACAAAGCTAACACATATGTAATTTTAGGAAAAAGCAAATTACTGGACAGTTTTTACACACGTTTTGTCCAGAAAAGAAAACACTGATAAAAACACAAGAAAAATTGAAAAAAAAAACACTTAATTACAGCTCCTTGTCAGTTGTCTTTAATGAAACATTATATATACTTGACTCTCCCATTGAATTCGACGTATGAGGGTCAAGCAGATCAGTTCCTAGGAACCAACAGCCCGACATCAGCACATGAGCTTTGATTATAATGGTGAAAGGTTTTGTAGAGAACATTCATCCACACTTTTTGAAGGGTCAAATACAGAAACCTGGTGCACTATGTGCCACAAGGTCCTCAAATGACCCTCCAGAAGTTATCAAATCAAACTTGTCCTTCTCCTAGGCCAGTTGCCATCCAAGGCTATAGAACCCAGTTTGCCCTGCTATTTACCCATAGCTGGAGGGAGAAGAAGAGGATTCACACCTTTCCCGACATATATTACATAATACCGCATCTCAGAAATATATATATATACATATATATATATATATATATATACACATTTCTGAGATGAGTTATTATGTACATTATTTACATCAAAGAATTTAATCTACAGCATTAGATTGTTCTCGTTCCGATGTCTATGTCTAGGGATACCTCAACTTGTTCTTTTCGTACTTCCCTGTTATTGTTTCTATTGTAGCAGAGTCTACTACCGGGACCAGGGATTGAACTCACCATTAGAATGCAAAGAGGTTTCCGAATCAATGCTTTAAACCTATTTAATCCTAATAAAGAATTCAGTTCGAAATCCCCAGAAGGTTACGTGGAGCCAGAGACACCTGAAGAAGGTGGAAGGGATCAACGATCGAAACACTGTCATAAGAAAAAGAAAAAATATATTTATATATATATATATGAGAACATTCATTCGAATGTAATTATTTCCAATAATGAAAATTCAGGCAGGAAGTAGAAAGCATTACATTCGGAGCAACCTTCGCAGTTTAACATATTTTTCGATCGTAGATACACACACACACACATACACACACACACACATATATATATATATATATATATATATACAGGGTGTCCATAAAGTTCGTGTGCACTAAAAAATTATAACTTTATTTTTATTTGCGATAAAAATAATCTGTAAAAAATGTCATAAAGTTTAATGTACCAAGTTTTAAGTAAAGCTAAAATAACTAATGTGATTTTAGGCTTTACTGTCAATCAGTTGGCAAATGTTTTCCGTGAACTGAAAAATCATATTATCCTTTGTATTGCTAATGATGAAGGACATGTGGAAACTTAAATAAAATTTCAATAAAACCTTAAAAAATATAGATTTACGTTTTTCTAATCCTTTTTACAAATTATTTCTATCGCAAATACAAATAATGTTATAAATTTTTTAAACTGCACACGAACTTTATGGACAACCTGTATAGAAAAAATTGGTTTGACTATAGAAGTGAGTTACAAACAGGCTGCATTTCAATTTTCTTTTTCAACTATAGAAATGCATTAATTTCATCTCTTGACAATCAAACCGATTGGAGATGAATTCTGACAGATACATTTTAAATGTCTTTATAACAAAGTTATATTTAGCACAGATGTTGCCACAGAACCTCCACGAATTCGCTCATCTCTTCTTGAAAACTCATTCAATTTCCATTTCCCTAAACGAAATTGGTGGTGGATAATTGGGGCCCAAATCTAAGCGACAATTAGAAACGAAAATAGCTTTGGCCAACTTGAATCGACATCATAAATATTTCAATAGCGACCATTAGTTTGTTGCAAGAATTAAAGCGTCTAATAATATTCCTTTGGACGAGGCCTATTCTTGCGGGGCGCATGTCTTTGACGAACTTAAGATGTTTCTTTCAGAATATTGAATAAAAAGAAAAAGTGTATTCTACACGAACAGTGGAAGAAATAGATCTTCTAATTAAATAAAGTCAATGGGCTTTTCTTTCCCTTTTGGATCAGTTTTTTCTATTTCTGTTAAATGTCATTCCCAAGTGTCAGCTACTCTATCTATCTATCTATCTATCTATCTATCTATCTATCTATCTATCTATCTATCTATCTATCTATCTCATTCTGTTCATTATCTATCTCAGTCTGTTAATATCTATCTATCTATCTATCTATCTATCTATCTATCTATCTATCTATCTATCTATCTACTTTATATTAACATTAATACTACATAATTGCATATTCAGATTTTTGTTTGTTTTTTCTGTATTTTCTTTCATACTGTCGGATTTATATATATTTCCATATATTTCATCTATTCATATCTATCTATCTCCATTCTATCTATCATTATCTATCTATCTCATTCTGTTCATTATCTATATTCATTCTTTCTCTATCTATCTATTCATATCTATATGAGCAGCTTTCATCTATCTATCTATCTATCTATCTATCTATCTATCTATCTATCTATCATCTAACATGTACCATGGAGCATCTAAATTTAATCTCCCGCTACATATCGAAAAGCGAACGAATGTTCTTCACAACAATGTAAGTCATTGCCAAAATAAATGATACGTCCAAGTAGACACAGTCTCACGTATATAAAAACAGCTACGCACACTTGCAAGCACCCACAAACACATCCACATATATATTCAAGCAAATAAATTTGTCTTTGTTACCTACTCCTGTGTATATGCGTAGCGTATATTTATTTTTGTATATATGTATATATATACGTTTGTGTGTGTGTGTACGTGTGTGTATATATATATATATATATATATATATATATATATATATCTATCTATCTATCTATCTATCTATCTATCTATATATATATATATATATATATATATATATGGGTTAAAAATAACTGCTAATCGACTACCAAATTGATTCTATCGAAAATGGACATCAAAATATGATGTTTTTTGTTCTGGGCTACAATTAAAGATGACAAAATTCCCGAGGCGAAAAGAATGGACAATGGAGGCTGCGGTCGGCTGGACGATGTTACATAAAAGAATCAATGCGTTGGTGGAAGCAGGGACACTCGGAGCTGGAAGGTAGAACAAAAAAAAAAAAAAAAAAAAAAAAAAAAAAAAAGAAAATTGGAACAAAACTGAGAAACGTAAAAAGAAATGACAGCAGGGAAACGCAAGGAAAAAGACGATAAGCTACGAGATTAAACATAAGGGAACTCTTTAGTTCGAGGAGGTAATTTTGTTTTTCAGCGCGCGTGTGTCTGTGTCATTCATGGCGAAATAACTAGCAAATTCGTACCATTTTTCTGCTTCTTTATAGGTCTTTATTTCATTCTACATATGTCAGTCTCTCTATAACGGTTTAAGATGCACGCCCAGGCACATTTGCTTCTCTTCAAAACCCACAGGGCCAGCTTGTGGTTTATACTGCAACTACGATACAGCTTCCGGGAGTCAGTAGTTGGAAAAATGCTGGAACTAATTAAACCTTAATCATGATGAGTTTGGGCCTCTTGCTAACTGTTAGGGGACCTTACCCATAATAACATAATGGACTATTCCATACATAATAAATACTGCGCTTCAAGAGGAAGCAGAGAGTTCCGCCCGAAGTCGGGCGACCAGTTGACCGGCTGATCGGTTGAACTCTCTGCCTTCGGGCGGGGAGGAACCCGAACGAGGCTACGCCGAAGGGCGTAGTCTCTTTCGGGGAGGTAAACCTAGGGTATATTTTTGACCGAGCCTACGAGATCGGAGATCACACGGGCTCGGAGATCCCACGTTAAACCGGCCTTGTGCCACATGATGCCCTCGTGGGGGTGGGTGACTAAATACCGTTCCGTCTGAAGTCTAGAGTTCAGTCTGAAGTCTGGAGTGAAATCCGTCAGGAGTCTGTCAGTCAGTCAGAGCGAGCGAGTCAGTCAGTCGAGTCAGAGGCAATCCGAAACAGAGTCGCGTTCAGACAATTACTACTAAACCTGATTGTTCGTACTAACACTTTCTACTTCTCTGTATATATTCCTCTTTGTAATATATCTGTGTTATTCCATATACGCCTTCGAGTTCTTCTTTATTAGTTCTACCTTGGACTATCACCGTGGTACAAGGAACCGGACCATAACACTAACACAGCCATTCCTAGTTTCATCTGCCCAATTTCACTCAAAAATATTGCTTCAACCCGAGACATGGTTTCCAGGAACTTTGCGAACAGGTCGAACGATGGAATCATTCTCCTTAGAACAGACTTTCTCAACGTCTAACTTCCTCCGCATCTCTTGCTTACACTCATCCGTGTCTCTTGCTAACTCCCTTCCACATTTCTTGCTAACGCCAATCTGCATCTGTTGCTAACGCCAATCTGCGTCTGTTGCTAACGACAATCTGCATCTGTTGCTAAATTTTTTCCGCGTCTCTTACTGACTGCCTTCTGCGTTACTTGCTGACTCCTTTCCGCGTCTCTTGCTGACTCCCTTCCGCGTCTCTTGCTGACCCTCTTCATCGCGTATCTTGCTGACTCCTTTCCGCGTCTCTTGCTGACTCCCTTCCGCGTCTCTTGCTGACACTCTTCATCGCGTATCTTGCTGACTCACTTCCGCGTCTCTTGCTGACCTTCATCATCGCGTATCTTGCTGACTCCTTTCCGCGTCTATTGCTGACTCATTTCCGCGTCTCTTGCTGACTCCCATCCGCGTCTCTTGCTGACTCACTTCCGCGTCTCTTGCTGACCCTCTTCATCGCGTATCTTGCTGACTCCTTTCCGCGTCTCTTGCTGACTCACTTCCGCGTCTCTTGCTGACCCTCATCATCGCGTATCTTGCTGACTCCCTTCCGCGTGTCTTGCTGACACACTTCCGCGTCTCTTTTTGACCCCTTCTACTTCTCTTGCTGACCCTCTTCATCGCGTCTCTTGCTGACTCTCTTCCACGTATCTTGCTAATTCCATTCCGCCTCTCCTGGTAACTCCCTTCGACGTCACATCCTAACTCTCCTTTCGCGTCTCTGGATCTCCCTGCCGCGTCACTGGCTAACTCTCTTCCACGTATCTTGCTAACTTCCTTTCGCATTTCTTGCTAACTCCCTTCCACGCGTCTTTCTAACTTCAATCCGCATCAATTGCTAACTTTATTCCGTGTCTCTTCCTGAACCTCTCCCGTGTCTCTTTCAATCGCGCCACAGCATCTATTGGCATCTCTTGTTAACTCCCTTCTTTGTCACTTGTTAAATTCCTTCTGCGTTTCTTGCTGACATTCTACTGTGTCTCTTCCAAACGCTCTACCGCATCTATTGCTAACTCCAGGAACTTTGCAAACTTACCGAACGATGGAATCATCTCCTTAGACCAGCGTTTCTCAATCGGTAAGCCATGAAAGGTAGCAAAGATGTGCCTCAAGTGAAGGGAAGAGCAATTTATGAATTATGTTTTTTTTTTAAAATCTTTATTGATATAAAAACCTAGAGAGACACATGACTTCCATGTTTAATTCAGGTCTTTGTTGTTTGCTATTTTATACTGCATATTTAATCCCTTAATCTTTAATAAGGAGGGGATAAACATTTCCTCTTTGCTTTCATCAAAGTATAACATATATATACAGTGCTGTTCGATAAAAGTGACTCAACTGATTTTTTTTTTTACTTCAAATTTTTTCGCCTATTGTTTTTGGGGTCAAAATAATTTTTAATCTTACTAATATAAATACCCCTTCACGACCACCTAGTAAAAAAGTTTAGTCACCCTAAGGTATTCTATTGATAATCATAATTTTCGATATAAATGAGATTTAGGGAAAAACTCTGTGCAAAAAAAAATTGACTCACTTATTTCCTGCAACTAGTAATCAATAGAAACATAACCGAACAGCTTTAAATAAAGAATAATAGAGGTACAATTTATTTATAATAGATAATATAGTTCGAAATATTTAATAATCTATGGGTCCTCCTTTATTTTGTATAACCTTTTCAACCCCTTTTTGGCATTGACTTGATTAGGTTCTGGTAAATCTCATCTCCATGTATTGAATTCCATTCGGATATGAAATTCATAATCAAATCCTCTTTGTTGCTCAACTGCTTTCTCGAGGGCCTGTACTTTATAATGCTTCATGAATTTTCTATGGGGTTGAGGTCAGGAGATTGGGGCGGCCATGTCATAACACTCACCTGCTTCTCATCAAAGTATTCCTACATCAATTTTGATTTGTGACAGGGAGCATTATCCTGCATAAAAATGAGCTTAGTGGGGTCGATTTGCACCCTTTCAGCAGAAGGGAGCAGACAAGAGTCTAAAAATTCTCTTCTAATGCTCGCTCCTGAGGGTCTTTTCAATAGGTTTTAAGAAACCAGTTTCATGAAAAGAAAAGCATCCCCCGAACCTTATACTGAACGGATGCTTGACAGTACTTAGTGCTAGATTCAAAGAGCTTTCAAAGCTTCTTCTTCGGATTTTAGATCGCTTATCCTTTGAATTTAGCTCAACTTTCGTTTCATTGAGGAAGAGAACATTTATTAAAAAAAAATCAGGTGAGTCACTTTTATCGAACAGCACTGTATATATATATATATATATATATATATATATATATATATATATAAAACAAATCTATCATTCAAAAATTTGCCAAGATGCATCAAGCACAGTTTTCCCATAAGAATACTTAAATATAGAATGTATTTAAAGTCTTAAAAATAAATGCTTATTTCAGGAGACTTTATTTTTTTTATTAATCTATATCTCTGAGATGTGGTATTATGATTACTTACATTATATACACTACTCGAACTGTTATCCTCATCTCATATTCACAACGTTTCGGCCGTTGTACGCTCCGGTCTTCTTCAGGTGATTGGAATTTCGAACCGAACCCTTTAAATTGCCCACCGAGGGAGAGTGTTCTAGTTCCACGTGCCATGTCTCTTCTGGATGTCTCAGTTATTTCTCTTTGACTCAACTCTCCAAGTTTTTGGTTCACCATTGCTGTGGTCTGGTATTGAAGTGACAAACTCTTTGGGTCTAGTCACTAGATTTAAAATAAATTTCTTTATCTTTTAGAGAATCCTTGAGGAATTTCAGCAGGTTTTCACTTTCCTGATCCATATCCTTCTGATGGAAAAATGGCATTCATTAACCGAGCTGCCAGTATCGCTTTCGGTCGAAATTCATAAAAAAATTTTTTCTGAAAACAGTTTTTAGGAAAAATAGGTTTCTCGACTACAGTAGATATTATTGCTCTTTTCATTATAGATGAAGGCTTTCCTTCCTAACCTTTTGTTTGAAGTACTGTGGAATGTCAACATCTTGATTTTGGCATTATTTTCTCTTCAAGTTCCATGTGATATTCATTTTAGTTGTTGTCGCTGTTGGTAGTCCTCAGGTAATTTCGTTTCTGTTATTTGGTACAGTTCTTTGTGATTCTGTAGCGCCAGTCTGCAATGTTCAAAGTAGGATTATCTTTGCCAAGACCCTCAGGTTTTGCACTCTCAAAGCCTTTTTTCATCATTGATCTTTGTGAAGCGGTTGTATACAGCTGACAGTTTAGCTATTTCTGACCGGGTTTAGCGCCATGCACCGCAACCCTGTGAAACTCTCGATCTAACGAGGCTATTTAAGAACATGACTCATGCTTTCATGTTAATGTTTTGGTTCTGTAGCAATTGGTGGTGTTGAGCAAAATCTTTTATTTAAAATAATTTTTCAGGAAAATAGGTTTCTCAAACCCAGTAGCTGTTATCTCTCTTTCCAGTACTGATGGGGGTTTCCTTCCTAACCTTTTGTTTGAAGTTGTGTAGAACGTCAACATCTTGATTATGTCATTATTTTCTCTTTGAGTTACAATTTAGTTGTTGCTGAAAGTCCTCAAGAGATGTGGTTTCTGTTACTTGGTACAGTTCTTCGAGATTATGTAGTGCCAGTCCACACGATTTGAAGCTTCATTCGCTGAAAGCCATTTTAATCATTGATCTTAGGAAACAATTGTATACGGTTGAAAGTTTTGATATTTCTGAAGGTTTTGACAGTATGCATGATATCCGTATAAAAGTCTGATGAGGCTTTTTTAAGAACATGATGTTTTCAGATTATTATGCTTCTGTAGCAATTGGAGGTGTTGGGTGAAACTATCCCAGGCGCTGCCTCTTCTATCTTCATTTTCTTTATATGAAATTTTTTTGATTGACCTATACTCCGAATAATCTGAAGTGTTTAGTATTTACTAATACCACATCCTGAATGTTTATGACGGTTTCAGAATATGTGCTATAATTATCTATTTTTTTTTCCTCGGGCATGCACGAACGAACACATAATATTCAGGGAAAATATTTGCCACTGGAGGCAAAGCTATCACTGATGACGATAAATGGATGATTCCTCCAGCTGTCCCTATGCCTTGAGTGCCTATTGGGACATAAGCCTGAACTTGCCCCTCAAGTGGAACTCATATATACGATCCATCGCTAAAGATGCTGGAAAAATGGTTGGTTCTCTGTACCGCTACAATAAATACCCGATTCTTACTTTTAGGTCTAAAATGGAGTACTGCTGTGTGTGAACGAGTTTAGCGCCATGCACGGCGAAAGTCTCTATCTGACGAGGCTATTTAAGAACATGACTCATGTACTTAGATAGATAGATAGATAGATAGATAGATCTTCACTATCCTGTCTCGGAAGAGTTCAAAATTGTCTTTGTGTCCTTGTGAAAGGCAAATTATTTCTCTCTATATCTAAAGGGATTCAATCTCTCTCTCTTTCTCTCTCTCTCTTTCTCTATCTATCTATCTATCTATCTATCTATCTATCTATCTATCTATCTATCTATTCATCTATCTATCTCTCTTCAATCTCTCTATCTCTCTATCTATCTATCTGTCCATTATCTATCTATCTATCTATCTATCTATCTATCTGGGCAGGAGATGCCCATTCTTCCTGTTTGGATAATGTTCAAAAGCGTCTTCGAGTCCTTGTTGGTAGCAAATTATTTCTCTTTATATCTAAAGTGGATTCTATCTATCTATCTATCTATCTATCTATCTATCTATCTATCTCAGCCCGTTCATCTCTCTCTCCCTATATATATCAGCCCGTTCATCTCTCTCTTTATCTATCTATTTCAGTCCGTTCATCTTTCTCTCTATCTATCTATTTATCTCACCACGTTCATATCTCTCTCTCTCTCTCTCTATCTATCTATCTATCTATCTCAGCCCGCTCATCTCTCTGTCTCTATCTATCTCAGCCCGTCCATTATCTATCTATCTATCTATCTGGGCAGGATATGCCCAGTCTTCCTGTCTTGGTAGAGTTCAAAAGCGTCTCCGAGTCCTTGTGGGTAGCAGATTATTTCTCTCTCACTCTCTCTCTCTCTCTCTCTCTCTTTCTATCTATCTATGTGTATGTATAGCTGCATCTATTCCTCGTGTTTGTAGAGCTTTTTTAAAAACTTGTCCTATTTCTTTTGATTTTAGACAAGGCACCTGCTGCTTCCTTGCAAGCTTCTAGTGTATAGCATTTATATTACATCCTCCGCCCGTATATCGTTATCTGAAAATGAATCCAGTTTCCTGCGCACGTTTCTTTGTTTAGAAGAAAAGAGGAAATATATGAAATAATAATAAGAGAGAAAAAAAAAGTGTCAGGTGTTTTTTTTTTTTTTTTTTTTTTTAATGAAGTGCGTCATTTTTTTCTTCCTAAAACGCAACAATCCTGTTTCAGTGCTTCCCTTGCTGACAATATAGATAAAAGGCTGGTAATATCATTAACATGAAAGCAATTACATTTGCAGTTGGGCAAAAGTGCTTATATGAGAAAGTATTAATGAACAGTGTAACCGAATCTACCTGTAAGAACGACGTGACGCATTCTGACACTGTTTAGAATTGTCAGGTGGATGGGATATAGGCGAAGATAAACTAACACGCGCACACACATTCTCTCTCTCTCTCTCTCTCTCTCTCTCACACACACACAGAGGCACACACACACACAGAGGCACACACACACACAGAGGCACACACACATACACATACAGGGTATATCAAAAATATGTTTACAACTTTGGGTACCGGTTGCTCACACCAGTACAAGGACAAAGGTCTTCATAAACATATGTCCGCAAACCCTTTTTGAGCTATTAATTTTAAAGTTTACAGAAGTCGCTGTTAAATACACCATCGAAGATACAATGCTTTTACAAATTTTGGGGCCACGGGTCTTGTCTCAGCATCGCGACAATAAACAGCAGCAACAATTGGATGAATCGGCTTGCTTTTGGTTTGGAAAACGCAATCTGATGCAGCCTCGTGTCAATTACCATTCCCGCTGTCATATGTAAAAATCATATCTGCCGATTCACGATATAAATATCCTACCACTGTTAAACGGAGCATCTCTCAGTTAACTGACTACTACATACGTTGGAGACAGATTAGCCACAAATGTACACGAATGACAAATGTAACCTAGTCTAATATGACATAGCACCATCGACCGTAAACTTCCTTTAAAAATAAACGATTTACGGACATATGCTTATATGTATTTTTGGAGTGAGGAACCCGCCCCCCAAAGTTTGTAAAAGTATTTTTGATACACCCAACACACACACACACACACACACACACACACACACACACCCAACACACACACACACACACACACACACACACAACACACACACACGCGCACACACACGCATACACACACACCCAACACACACACACACACGCACACACACGCACACGCACACACACCCAACACACACACACGCGCACACACACGCATACACACACGCAACACACACACCCAACACACACACACACACACACACACACACACACGCACACACACACACACGCACACACACACGCACGCGCACACACCCAACACACACACGCACACACACACACACACACACGCACACACACACACACATATATATATATAATATTAGTGGTCTCTCTCTCTCTCTCTCTCTCTATATATATATATATATATATATATAAGTTTCCAAGAGAATAGATTCCAGGTAGAACTTAATGTCTAGGACAGAGTAAGAATATAATATAAAAGTCCCAAACACTAATATTCCATGGTTATAATTTATTACATTGGAATCGTAATCACGATTTGCAGATCTGAGGAATTGGAGCGTGTCAATCCTCGTCACTAAAATGTTGTAATCTAGAGAAGCTTACTGAATAGTATAATCAAACAAAGGTTAGTAATGAAAGATAATACTTAGGACAAGAACAACACATATAAGATACGCCAACGGCGCGTCGGAGAAATAATCAACTGCTAGAAGTGAGTTACGTGAATTCCACAATGAATCTCCTACTGCAGGATATCTACCAACCGCCCCACGCGGTCAGATGTGGCACAAGGCCGAATTTAATGTGGGGTATCCGAACCCGTAGGCTCGGCCAAATATTTCCCGTACACCTTGTATAAAGCGGGATCGGGCAACTGTTTCCCGAGACGAGTCTCTGTTCTTCAACCTAACCTCGTCTGGGAATCCTCTCTGGCCAAGGGCAGAGAGTTTGGCCTGCAGCGCAGCAGACGAATCTTCAACTGCAGACCAACATACAGTATTTACTACTTTATTTATGTCAATGGGAACATACCCATTATTGTCCGTAGCTATGTTACAATATATATATATATATATATATATATGTGACGACAACGTGACCATGCTAAACGGAAAGCTGATCATTTTAAAAATTTTCAGTTATCTGTTTTGGATAAGACTTGTTGTTTATGTCCATCGTCTTTGTCAAATTAAACTGAATTGTATTTTAATGAATATTGTCCTGAAGAAGGTTTATTAAACCGAAACGTCAGACGTCGACATTTCATTCATTTTAAACAACATAATTGCATTTAAGGATTTTTGGTTTGTTTTTTCCAAATTTTTCTTCATTCTGTCGGATCTATATCCATTTACATTTGCTTACATTATATATATATATATATATATATATATATATATATATATATATATATATATATATATATATATTAAGACTGCGTTTAAGCCCTCTGTTCTCTTACCACAGGAGAACATTTGCCACTGGTTTATTGCACAAACTGCCGATGTTTATGGATGAGGCAACATTTGGAAGAGGTGGAATAACAAATTTACACAACCAACATTTGAAGGCGGATCAGAGTCTCCATGCTAGAATAAAGGGTAGACCAGTATCTGTTTACGATTAGTGTGTGGGATGGAATTTTAGGTGACTGACTAGTAGGTGCATATGTTCTCCCAGCACGTCTTACAGGAGCTGTCTACAGGGACTTTATTTCGAACACACTTCCAGACCTGCTAGAGGATGTACCCCTGCTAATACGATGGCGTATGTGGTTCATACATGATTGAGCACCAGCACATTTGAGTCATATTGTTCGCGATTCACTGGTTGACATCTACCTTGAAAGATAGCTTAGTAGGAGAAGACAGATTCTATGCCCTGCACGTTCCCTCGACGGGTTTTTATTTGTGGAGCCGCCTAAAAACAATTTGTTTCTGCAGCTGACATTAATAATACAGAGATACTTCATCATCGTGTCATGGGGGTCTGCAAAACCAATCGACACCGTGTGGGAGTATTTGAAAGGGTCCGCCAGTCAATGATCCAACGGGTGCGTGCGTATGTAGAAGCAAGCGGAAGACATTTTGAACATTTATTGCTGTGTTGGGGTACAACAATGGCCTTTTGGATATATGTTTATATGAACATTTTAACTTGTTTAGGTGTCGGGAACCCTCTCACGAAGTTTGTAAAAGTATTCTTGGATTGTATTGTGGATTTAAAAACGTTTACCTTAAACGTCAAACTTAATAACTCAAAAATGAAGGATTTGCGGACATATATTTAGGTGGACCTTTGTCCTTGTCTTCTTTTGAGTAACATGACCCAAAAGTCTGTATAGTTGAAAATTTTAGGGCCCATAATAGGGAAAGAAGGTTTGGAAAATTTAACACTCACAGGACATAGTGAGGGACAGAAGAAAATAGTGCCTAAACTACCTGACAAGCTTGTGTTAATGGTTGGCAGAACAGGGTTTAGAAGAGATAAGAGAAAGACTAAGAGCTACAAAAGACAGAAAATGGTGGAAGCCAACGTCCTGAAGGGACACGGCATATAGAAGAAAAAGAACTCTGGCTTGGTAGACGTGACAGTTTGAGCATTGGTGATAAAATTAGTTTCCTAAAAGACCTGTAAGATAGATCTTCGCATGTAAGACGCAGGGAGATGTTTTTAGTTATTCTTAAAGTACATTTCCCCAATATTATTTGAATTTGCATGTTTTATTATTCCTGGAAGATGGGTAAGATATATCTTCGTTTATAAGACGCAAGGAGATATATCTTCGCATATAAGACGCAGGCACATCATTTTTAGCTATTCTTAAAGTGCATGTCCTCAAAATTATTTGAATTTCTATATCTTATTATTCTTGGAAGACAGGTAAGATATATCGTCGCATATAAGACGCAGAGAGATATAACATCGCTTATAATACGAAGCGATATAATCTCTATCTATAAAAGGCAGAATGTGTGCGCGCGCGCGCGTGTGTGTGTGTGTGTAACGAATGCACGTCCACAATTTTCGACGGATTTGCACGAAAATTTACATGTACATGCTCGGAGTTAGCAGGAAAACAAAGACCGACTTTGCATTTTCCAACTCCCATCGATAGTGGAAATAATCGATTTTTCATGCTTCTATGGCAGTTTTCATGTAGTTTGTCGCCATTTTCTACTGGCCAGAGTGAAAGCCTATAGCTGGCTGACACGAATAGGCAGGAAGATTCTATGGGCCAGCGTGAGAGCCAACAGCTGACTGACACGAATGTTAAGTAGCATGCTAGCATGCAAAAAAAATCGATTGCTGCATTCGTCACAAGTGGGAAAAATTTAAATCTGCATGGCACTTTACTCCAATTGGCTCATTCACTTGCTTAAACTCAACGTTGATTTTGATTCCGCAGAACTGGGTTGGGTGTGAAAAAGTATTTGTTGTTAATATTCTTTTTCATTCGGTTTTCCAGTTACGAGTCCTTTTTAAAGCTGATCGTTTTGTGTTCATTTTGTTTAGTTCTTTTTCGTAACAGATTTAATGTTTAGTATAGAGGTTAGAAAAAATTTGCAGTGTGAGATAGGCAAGAAGTAAGGCATTTAGCAACATCAGCACGGCAAAGGGCACTCCTTTATAGGGAAGGAAGGGCAAAAATATTTTAAGTCAAGTGATAGCGATTGCTGTATGAGTCGTACGATTTTTGAATCAAGCACGGGCAACGCCGGGCCATGCTGCTAGTTTTAACTATTCTCAAAATTCATGTTCTCAGTATTATTTGAATTTCCATGTTTTATTATTCCTGGGAGGTAGGTAAGATATAACTTCGTTTTTAAGACGCAGGGAGATATATCTTCGCATTTAAGACGGAGGTACACAATTTTTAGGTATTCTTGAAGTGCATGTCCTCAAAATTATTTGAATTTCTATGTTTTATTATTCTTAGAAGACAGCTAAGATATAACTTTGCATGTAAGATGTAGGGAGCTATTTCTTCGCTTATAAGACGCAGGGAGATGTTTTTAACTACTCTTAAAGTCCATGTCATAAGTATTATTTGAATTTCTATGTTTTATTATTTCTGGAAGACAGGTAAGAAATATTTTCACAGTATAAATGACAGGGAGATATTTTTAGCTACTTTTAAAGTGCATCTTATATATGCGTTAAATATTGTACGTTATTGTATTTTGTCTTCAATTTTCATTGGTTTATTCCTCGTTTTCATCTTTCTTATTTTCCTTCGATCTTTTCATTTATTCGACTCTTCTTTTTCTTTATCTCTTTCTATAATCGCCACTCTTCTTCTTCTTCTTCTTTCCATTCCCCTCTTCTTTCTCTTTTTTCCTTGTTTCATTTCTCCCTGCATTACGTCTGTCAGTGTGGCGTTCTATTTTTAAAAGTTGCCAATAAACACAAGTAAACAACTGTGCCTTTGTTCTAATTTCTCAAATAACCACCCCGCTTCTTACCTTCTACATAGCCAGACAGTCACGGGCTCATCAGTCTAATTCCCGGCCCTGATTGTCACCTCAATCATTCAACCGTACTGCGGACGAACTCCTCAAACCCCTCTGACCTGCAACCAACCAGCATCCTCTCTAATCGGACTCCCCTACATTAATGGTTAATCACTAATTGGGGCCAAAGTCCAGACGTCCATTTTCTACTTATTCCACTCTTTTTACTTCGATTACGAGCCGGACGATGTCTTCTTTTGACCTAGGTACCTTCCGACCAAGCGTCAGCCCTAAATCCCAACTTCCCCGCCAATTCTACAGACCAATGCATTCCTCGACCATTTTCGAGACGAAATAGGCAGGCGTCAATCAGGTGTTACTGCGTCATTCAAAGCCTGTCTGAGAAACGACCTTTTCGCGCCTCTTTGAGCAGCAGATACCCGGATGACTGTTTTGGAGATTGGTATTTCAGTTAGATTATTAATTCTTTTTCTCTTTCTTTAAACTTTTCTTTCTTAAATTTTACTCGTTCATCCTCCATCTTTCCTTACCAAATTCCTTTTTCTTCATGTTACGTTTTATTTTGATAACAGTTTTTTCTTACTTCATTTCTTTCTTTCCTGCTTTTTCACTATATTATATCTACCTATAATATCCCTCTTCTCTCAGTACTGCTTACATTAATTCCTGACCACTGACAATCCCTTTCTTCCTGATTTTCAATGCATTTCTATAGTAAATCATTAGTAATGAATTTACATTCTACATATAATAGCCCTCTTCTCTCGGTACTGCTTGCATTAATTCCTGACCACTGACCATCCCTTTCTTTCTGATTTTCAATGCATTCCTATAGTAAATCATTAGTAATGAATTTACATTCTACATATAATAGCCCTCTTCTCTCAGTACTGCTTGCATTAATTCCTGACCACTGACAATCCCTTTCTTTCTGATTTTCAATGCATTCCTATAGGAAATCATTAGTAATGAATTTACATTCTACATATAATAGCCCTCTTCTCTCAGTACTGCTTGCATAAATTCCTGACCACTGACAATACCTTTCTTCTTGATTTTCAATTTGTAATGAATTTACATTCTACATATAATAGCCCTGTTCTCTCAGTACTGCTTGCATTAATTCCTGACCATCCCTTTCTTTCTTATGTTGTGTAGGGTGGTGACTGTGCAGTTCTCGGCAAAAATCCTTCATCTGAAGTTCCCTGTCACAAGTAATATTCAGTTTGTCGATACAAAAAATCGAGACCAATCGGCATATGACAATGATAAGGCGTTCGACAACGATACAGCAAACCTCAATCTTTCCGGTATATTCTTTTTTCTTTTTTTTTCGCCATAGGTCAACATGGCTCTCCACAACGTCCCATCTTTTCTTTATCTTTTACCATCCCTCTTACATCATGTATTACTCAAATAGCATATTCGGCGTGTTCCACTGCTTCGCTTGCCTTCACTACGTACTTTGAGTGTTAAATTCTCTAAGCCGTCTCTCCTCATCATGTGTTAACTGTCTCTTTCTGATTGTAGTGATGAGTTTTCTTAAAGCTTTCCTCGTATGTCGTCGCCCTGATATTCTCAATATTCTTTGCTTGATGAAGGAGCACCTGATCATGACCAGAGGGTTACCTGCTATAGCTCTCTATGTATCCCAGTTTGTTTCTATCTATCTATCTATCTATCTATCTATCTATCTATCTATCTATCTATCTATCTATATCATTCTTTTCATATATATCTATCTATCATATTCATCATATCTATCTATCTATCTATCTATCTATCTATCTGTTCATTATCTATCTCATTCTGTTAATTATCCAGTCTGTTAATATCTATCTATCTATCTATCTATCTATCTATCTATCTATCTATCTATCTCATTCTATTCATTATCTATCACAGTCTGTTAATATCTATCTATCTATCTATGTCTCTTTTCATATATATCATTCTGTTCATATCTATCTATCTATCTATCTATCTATCTATCTATCTATCATTCTGTTCATATCTATCTCAGTCTGTTCATATCTATCTATCTATCTATCTATCTATCTATCTATCTATCTATCTATCTCATTCTATTCATTATCTATCACAGTCTGTTAATATCTATCTATCTATCTATCTATGTCTCTTTTCATATATATCATTCTGTTCATATCTATCTATCTATCTATCTATCTATCTATCTATCTATCTATCTCAGTCTGTTTATATCTATCTCAGTCTGTTCATATCTATCTATCTATCTATCTATCTATCTATCTATCTATCTATCTATCTATCTATCACAGTCTGTTAATATCTATCTATCTATCTATCTATCTATCTATCTATCTATCTATCTATCTATTAACCCATAGCTGGGGAGAAGATGTGGATTCATGTGATACTATAAATTCTGACTGGTTGTCGTTGAAATGGTTAATGATAAACTATTGTGATACTGCTAGTATGAAAAGGATTAAAAGTGTGCATGTGAAAAGCCTGTATAGGATTTGGCGATTTGGATCGTTTAAAAACATTAAGGTGAAAACATAAATTGAAATATGAAGCAAGGAAAAAACAGATTTTTTTCCTTGCTTTCTGATAAACAAACCAGTAAAACAGAATAGAATGCTGGGTTCAAAATATGATCTGAGGAATATAAAATGTAACTGCTTGTCAGTCGAAAAACAAATGAGATTGTTATGATTCACAAGCCGATAAAGGAAACAATCTGAAATATGGTTTTGTAAACATACAAAGTAGGCAAGATTTTTAATCGGTCATATTGAAAAGTCGACAACAAAGGAAAGTCTTTGATGTCAAGGCATGGTAACCCAGATCTTATCAAAACAAAAGGTTGCCTCGAATTTGTCATTTGGAATCTGGACCGATTGATGTCAAGAAGACAGAAAAGAATTTATAAAGACAAGTTTGTTATCGAAGAATTTATTGTTTTGAATGTGACCGACCGCGGGCCGTTTTGTGTGAAGGTCAGTATTAGTTCGGCAAAACTGGAGAGATAATTAATGAATTGATAAGAATATTAATGAATCTTGAGGTGCGGAATACATATAAACAGGCGCTTTGGTGACCTAAGAAGAAGGCCGGAAAGAGAAGTCACGTGAACTGCTGCCGAGAAAATTCCCAAACTTTTTCTTTTTTTTTTTTTTTCAATCCGCTCCAAGTTTAAGAAGAAAACGTGTGTCATGATAGAGATTATAACGGGAAGGATTCATTTTCACTATTTACATTATTCGGTCTATTGTCCTCATCTTTGTCGCCATATTTATTACAACGTTTCGGTCGTTGTACGCTCCGGTCTTCGTCAGGTTGTTGGAATGTCGAACTGGACCCTTTATTTCGCTCGCTGGGGTAGACTGTTCTAGTTCCATGTGCCATGTTTAATGGATGTCAGTTATCAGTTATCTCTTGTTAATTTCCCTTAACCGAGTTCTTCGCACATAAAGATGAAGAATACAAGGAAAGAGAAATAAGATTGATAGAAGGAAAAACATACTGAGAGAGATTAATATGAGCAAAGCTAGCTAGATAGCAATAGACCGAAGCAGAAATAACATATATATATATATATATATATATATATATATATATATATATATATATATATATAAGACATATCTGTTTGTCTTTCTTTGCTTTTTCTTTTCTCTCTCTATATATATATATATATATATATATATATATATATATATATATATATATATATATATATATATATATATATATATATATGCTTATTGTGTATTAGGCACCAATCCTTCATTTATACATGTTTTATTAAAGACGACATTTTTAATTTTTCTTGTCTTCGAACAAGTGTTTACTTTTCTGGGATTATAAAATCTGTCCAAATGTTTAGTAATTGCAAGCGCTTTCAGTTAAAATTAAACCCATTAGTAAAGATGAATTTATTTTTACTTTTTAACTGGGTTTATGGTTTGTGTGTATGTTTCTCGAGTTCCAAACACAGCACTTTGTGGCCGTATTCGTAGTTAATATTATTGAATGTTGGCTTTTTCTATTTTAATATATATATATATATATATATATATGGATGTATACACATATATATGTACAATATGAATAGACTAAAATTGTAAGGTAGATATCTACTTTACTAATTCACTATATTCATATATATATATATATATTAAGACATTTTTATGTTTATACATTCTTTTTTTATAGATACAAATATTTAATTAAATGCTCTGTTTATAATAAACAGTATTAACAACATTTACCGGCCTGGATGTCAGAGAAATTTTCATAGAAAATATGCATCCTCCGACAGGTAGCGAACCTGTATCTTATACGGAACTGTCATATAGCCTGACGTGCTTTTACCGATTTCGCCACAGAGGAGCGTTTCGGTTAGCAAGGTCAATTTTACTATTTTTAAACTACAATTATCAATGATTTTCTCTCGTATATTTATATCTGCTCAAAGCGCATCCAAATATAAACAAATGACGTCACACATTATGAAATGGACAAAGTCCGACAATTATTTTAAGACATTTTTATGGTTCTACATTCTTTTTTATTGATATAAATAAGTAAATTCTCTGTTTATAATAAACAGTATTAACAATATTTACCTGTCTGAGAACGCATTTTTTCCATGAAAATCTCTCGAACTTTCAAGCCGGTAAATGTCATTAATACTGTTTATTATAAACAGAGCATTTACTTAAATATTTGTATCTATAAAAAAGAATGTATAAATATAAAAATTTTAAATAATTGTTTGGATTTTGTCCATTTCATAATATATATATATATATATATATATATATATATATATATATATATATATATATATATATATATATATATATATATATATATATATATATATATATGTGTGTGTGTGTGTAGTCAACCTATCTTCCTTAATGTTTCAGTCTATTCATTTGTATATGTGTGTGTGTGTGTTTGTGTTTTTGTGTATTTTTGTACCAGTATAACATTCGCAGACACGAACACTCACTCACACACACACATATTTATATGTAATAAATTATAACCATATTTATATGTAATAAATTATAACCGTGGAATATATGGAATATTAGTGTTTAAGTCTTTTTATTATATATATATATATATATATATATATATATATATATATAAAGTGTATATAATGAAAGAATTATCGTAAATAAAAGGAAAGAAAGAAATGACTCAAGCAGGCAGACATGAACGGACGCACATTTACGAATTATTTGATTGAACAAAACTAACTAGTTGTATGTTAAACCTGGCTTGATGGATTTATGAAAAAGATTTTCTCTTTTCTGAAGAATTTTTTTTTTTTTTAGGGGAGGCTTGTTTTTAGGACCCAGTTCTACTCGATAGAAAATAATCGATGCATTCCGACTCTCACACATACAGTCTCAATAATTCTTTTCTTTTTTTTTACCCGGAGTTATATTTTCTGATTTCTTTTTGAATTTGTAGGTCTGATGAATTGGATCGTGATTACGATTCCAATGTAATAAATTATAACTATGGAATATTAGTGTTTTAGCCTTTTATATTATACTCTTACTCTGTCCTGGACATTGAGTAGTATGAATTGGCTGAGTTTTAAGTTTAGATCAGATCG